CGACACATGCGTTGTTTCATGTTAACAAGAACAAGCCGTCCCATGTCTTGGTGTGCTGTTTGTACCACTATCTTGACAGCCCATCACCGGCGCTTTTGTCGTCTCGTTTCGAAGAGCGATGATCATCCGCCCTGGGGACCTCTCCTCCACTGTTTCCTGTCGTTGCACCTCGCCCCGCCGCTGTCGCTGCCTGACTCATGACTTTCCATGCACCTGTCCCCGTCTTAACCACCACCACAACACCCCTCCAACGGATCACGTCACCTTTTCCTCGGTGGCCAACATTCAAGCCTTACCTAATGTCCGAGTGACAGACGCGGCCGAAGAGAACGTCTCGTCTTTCAGTGGAATTACGGCAGGCTTCGACAACCTGTCTCGTTCACGGCCAAAGCGAATAGTGGTGGTAACTCTGCAGTGACCATATGCAACCAATAACAGCAGCAGTGGGATGAACCGCGACACCATCGCCAGGAGGGAGCCGACGGTGGCCACCAGAAACATTTGCCCGTGTGTTCGCTGTTCACGGTGGTCGCGGTTTTGGTCCTGCTCCGTTCTGTCAGTGGTTGTGGTTGTCCGCTGCCACCGGCCTCGTATCGTCGACCGTATTATCGATCCACAATAATAATAACAATAATGAATGGCCTGTGAGCTGACGAGAGAGGCAGAGACACGAAGCGAGAGAGTGAGAGAGACAAAGTGTTGTCGGAGCAGCCTTTGACTGACTGTCTGACTGAAGTGGCCAGCTCTCACAGTCGGGCGAATGATTTAATCCGGCCCATCGTTCACACGCGCATAATAAGGCACATCATAGCTATTCTGCCCCGTTCTATTGTCTTCTGTGTTTGCTTATTTCTCGTGTATGCCCAACTGTCTTGGCAGCCGGTCGAAAACATCGGCCCCGATGACCACGGGCATCACCACCACATTCCGATACGTGTCCATGACGACCATGGCGTCGGCTGAAACCAATGTCCAATGTCTTTGCGACATGCTCCCCTCAGACTACGATGGTACAGCAGGCGGTGGTGGTCAGTCAGAATAAATGCTCGCTGTCACGTTGTGGTGAAGGAACAAACGTGGTCACTGATGACCGATGATCATGGGACATTCGCCGGTGACCAGTGATCGTTGATTTTTTTGGCAATGTACAATGTCTGGTAGTTTTTCCGGAAATCAGCCGTCAGCAACAGTCTTGTGGCCGTGTATCGCCCTTACTCTATTCTGCCCTTTCCGGCTGACGGTCGGAATTATTTCGGTCGGAGTCGATCGTCGAAGCTGCTCCCTCTATCCGACCACGATTGCGTCGCACTCGTAGCGCATGCCTGATTTGTTCGGACCACAAACTTTCTGTTGGCTCGGCCGATGTCCACCAGGCAGGGTTCAGATGAGGACAACGAGGTGACGACAATCTTCGAACGAACGACAGAACTCAAAATTTAGGCGTCATCCTCAAAACTTAGGTAGCTAACGCGAATCACTCTTTGGACTACAAATTAGAAACACCTGGTAAAATAATGACCCGAAATTGGCGTCGAAAAACTTGAACGGCTGTTGCGGTTGTCAAAACTTAACTTGACCGTAACGGTGATGGCTGTCAGCCGAAGAGTTCGCGTCCGGATACACACGTGCCGTCGTCGTCTCCTTCGGCCAATAGATTTTATGCTGCATGATTTACGGCTTTGGCCGCGAAAGCGTAGAGCCGCCGGGCCACGACCGGCCATCAGTGACCAACGTGACGTTTTTCGATTGTTTCGTTCCGCTGCGGTATCGGCCTCGGGCCACGGCTCATTAC